TGAATAGGAAAATATATCAGGAACCTCCTACCAGCTCTCCTCAGACGGAAGAAGCTACTCGGAGGAGTAGTGAAACGTTTCAGCCTAACAAGAAAGAAATCCAGTTGCCATGACAACTTCCAGATAACCACACCTGGATGACTGAGAATCTTCACAGACAAACTTCATCACATGAAAGTAATGCATCAGAGGTTTACTGAGAAACACTCCTAGTAACACAAAAGCCATCTGAAAGTTCCAGCTGTAACAGCAACCAATCAGGTGTTTTATCCATCCTAGCTTGTAGAGCAATTGACTGTGAGCCAGGAAGCCCTCAACACCAGTTTCACTTCTAATATGAACTCAGTAAATGGCCTTTGGTAAGCCACCATATTTCAGTTTTTGTCTCGTATGTGCATTTGCAGAATAAAACTTCCCATCTACCTCAAACAGTTTGCATAGGATTGCATTTGGAGGGTGCTTTATAAATATTAAGCACCGCTACTATCATCCTTCTTCATAATGGCACATACTATTGCAACATGATGATGTCATATTATTAAGTAGCATGCAGCAACTGCAAACTGCCCTCCTAAGAGCCACGGCCTTTTTCAGGACTTCAACAAGCTGTTCCTTCATAATAAAGCATTCTTTTCCTTTTCTCATACCTAGTTTTTGCAAAGGGGGGGGAGGAATCCCACATGACAGTTTAACAGTTCATGTTTGACCCTTTTTTGACAATAATTTTACCTTCCCCTTACTTTTTAAATTGTAGATTCACAAATTTGTGGGTTCACATGCTCTGGTCCGTGGGGTCATGAAGAATAAACATGACTTAATGACTAAACAACAACAACTCGCATGTAGAATGTCGGACATGACTTAATGACTAAACAACTAGCATGTAGAAACCTCCCTATTATATTTTAGAGACTTCAGTTTGGCTAGGCAGCCATCAGTCCTCATCCTGTGAGTTCACTATCAGAGAGACTGAATTCTTGAGTTTCAGTGAAAATATCCAGAAGCTTTACCTCCCGTTGTGTGTCACAAGGTTAGTCTTGTGTCTCTCAACAGTTTCAACATGGGATCATTAAGACAAGAAGTCAGGAATCAAGTTTGACTTCATCTGTTAAATGACTGGGTGGGCATAGCCAACTCTGTGATTTTCACCAAGACAGTCTTGGAACAAAAATAATACAGAAGCCATTAAATAAATTAGAAGTCATGGATGTTAAGATTATATCTTACCTATAACTTCCGGAACGTGTTTCCCTTTGAAACTGAAACAGGCGGTGACATTTAAGCAGTTCACCAGCTGTAAGCCATCGTGGCACTGAGGAGCTGTGATGTCAATGGATGTGGGCAGGAGAACAGAGATGTCCATAGTAATAACAGGCCTGGATCTTAAACAACAGCAAAACAAGGGAAAGTATTATCTTTCACAATAATTGGCATAGGGCAATGACTGAGAAACAGGTCATGGTAAAAATGATCATATATGTGAAGCCCTCCAAACACATAACACATTATAAATTCTAAGACTTTTGCACTAAGATTCTACATATAGGTTGCTTTAGCTCATGCAAGCTGGAGGAACTTTGCTTCATCTCTGATTTTGTCACCAACAGCCTCTCATTCTTCTCTTAAATCTTAGGTATGACTTACCCCCCAACATCTGCAGTGCACCCCTGGATACCATTCCACATAGGAATCCATTGCTGTGAAGGGGCTCTAATGGTGGTTGTGCCAGTTTTAAGCACACCAGCATTCCTATCAGTTTGGAAGGGAGGCATTTGCCATTTCGTGTGTAAGATAACTACCCCCTTCACATGGCTTCATGTGTAGCAAGGTACACAATGGAATACCACACTGACACTGCAGACCTGTGCTTGTTAACTCAAAGTAACTCTCATCATAATCAATGGGAATGCTCTTTAATAAGCATGATCAGAATTGCAGTTTTATATCTGGCATTTTTAGACATAAATCATGCTCCTATAAACATGAATGACAAAAGTGAGATAACATATATGTAATAATGATATTAATATTTATTTATATTGTGCTCTATATCAGAGTGTATTTCAATGGAATCAATAATGTACAAACATGCAATACAACATTTAACCACAACCTTAATAATATGGGGGGTGTGGGGTGTGTGTGTGTGTGTGTGTGTGTGTGTGTGTATGAATCTGCATAGCATCATAAAACCCTTCAAAAGAAGCAATAATAAAAAAGAATTAGCCAACTGTTAAAAGGAGGTTGTCCTGTAAGAACTGACATGCCAAAAGATAAGCCAAAACTAAAGCCAAAAGGGACTAGGAGGCACCAATGTAATTATTTATTTAAGTTAAGGCACAAATCAAAGCAGTCAACTTATTTCATATGTACAAAGACCTAGCATGCAATATGGTTAATAATAATAACACAAAGTCACAAATAACCACCTGAAAGAACGGGATTGATTCCATTTCTATCAATATATTTGGAAATTCACAGCATTCAATGAAGATCTAATTCGCTGATGAGAGGTCATTTTAAGAGAAAGCAGTATCCCAATGTGAGAATAAGCATGAAGCACTAATCAGAAGAAAAATGCAATATCCAATTTCTGTAAGCTGTGATATGCTGCCGAGAAGGTATCATGGCCTCTCCATAGTCCATCTCAGTCACTGCTGCCTTTTAAAAACATATCAGCCTAGACATAAACGTAAGCCTTATACATTCCTTTGAACCAGTACAGAGTAGTGCATGGAACAGAAAGCTGTAGTACTGCCTCCTTCAGAACTTCCATTGCTCTTCTACTTGCAGAGGATGGTAAGTCTGAAGAGGAAGAGCTACCACTATCTGTGAAGGCTGTCCACATGAGACAAGCCAGTATAAAATCTGGATCTCAATTCATGTAGAGAGCCTCCTGTGAGGATACTCAATTCATGTAGAGAGCCTCCTGTGAGGCTATGGTTTTTGTAGTACTTGTTTTTCAGAGTTCACAGGTGTTCCCATCTCAGTCTGAGACCCAGCTCTTGTTGTGTCGATTCAGTGGAGAAGAACCAAGGTCACATCTCAAGACTGATAAAATTGCATTCCATTCTAAGTGCCTGCCAGCCTGGGAACAAGAGACTGAGCAGTGGAAAGTTACAAGACAGGTGTGAACTTGTGAACAAAGGCATGTATGCTGATCAGATACCATCACAAAGCACAGACTTTGATTTAAGTTATAGAAAGGGTGGGTTAGGTATGTGTAAGTTGGAGAAGGAGGAGAAGGAGGACAGGTTTAAAGCCTTCTTTGATTGATCAGGAAATTTAGCAGTGTTCACTTAGAAGAGCATAGTAATTAAGCAGTAAAACTTAGCTAGCAGAAGAGCATAGTAATTAAGCAGTAAAACTATTAGCTAGCTAATCATTTTATGTTTTATGGGAAAGACTCACAGGAGTCTTTATACTTAGATGCTTGGCATTTAGCAAATACAATTTGTATCTTTTTGTTTTTCTGTTGTTTTATAACTTTTTATTCTTTTTAAATAAACCTTTTATATTTTACACAAGTGTGGTTCTTGGGGGCAAGGGTGTGAGTGCCTAAAGGAAGTTCCTTAGCCATGAGGGCTGTGTTTGCTATTTTTGTTCTTTGGGTGTCCTGCCTGGTAAGGTTCGTATGCAAGGTTTAAAGTACACAGTTAAAGAGTTTTCATGCCCAAATAAGGAAGTAATTGGAAATCTAGAGTTAGAAGTTTGCCCATAGTTGCCCACTCATGCAGCTTCTAGGTCTCACCCAATCCAGAGAAAAGGTGGTGGAAGCTGGGAACTAGAGTTATGGCATCTTCCCCTGGGGCAGTGGAGGCAAACCTTTTTTTTGGCTCGAGTGCCCAAAATGAGGGGGTGGGGAAGAAACCAGTGGCTGCTATGCCACCCGGAAGACCAGAACTGGAACAGGAAGTGGCAGTTTCAGGGGGAATCATGGGGACGGACAGGAAGTTAAAGGGGGAATCATGGGGAC